GTGTTTCGTTAACATTGTGTAAAACGTTTCACGGCTATCACAGGAAGATCAGATTAAATGTAATGAACTGTGGCTCCGTGCATTTTAAATGACGATGATGATGAAACAACGACTTAGTTTTCACCCATGAACAACGAGCATCATAGGCTTGCCTCAAACATAATCCAAACACGGCGAGAAAGGCAGGAAAGTGGCTTTACGGTTCGTCCGAAACCAAAAACAGGGGAGTCTTTCTGTCACTAAGACCAGCTCGCAGGGTCGCTTATTTTCTGAAGCGCAAACATGACGCAAAGAATTGGGCTACGAAGAAACTCTGAAATACTTAGTCCGTGAACTTAAGACAGTTCGAACAACACATTGCTTATCAAATTTGTACCATGACAATTTGCTGACAAGATGCGCGCAGTGCACCTTCATTTCCACAGTCGTGTGTTTGTTGCTTTTCCGCGGATTTTAACAAGCTCCTGCCATCCCGCCTCGTCCCTCGCTCAAGGGGAGACGGAGTATTTGACAACAAGACAGCACGCCGTTTCCCACGTCTCATATCATTATTTCAGTGCGAATTTTTCGCGAAGGCCCGAGCGGGACCTGAGAACCTTCAATCAGTCAATCAATCAACTTTATTTAGAGAGGGTGACACCTTGCTTACCTTCATTCTCGTGTCGATCCCCATTTGCTGAAGAAATGAGCTCTGTGTAACTGGTCCAAACGTTTGAACTGTCAAAATAATTAAACAAAAATAGAAACTATCAAACGATCCGTTACAAGGCAGCAGATTTAAGGCTCGGCGCGGAAGACGCTAAACAATACTAGATGTTGATATTTATATCTGCAAACAGACCCTGATTTAAAATAGCCAGCGGGTAAGTTCTAAAGAAATTCTAAGAAGAAATTATCGGCAGTTATCCTCATGTATCTCTCCTTATACCTCATCTACATTCTGGTTCTAACACGTAACCGATTTTGTGTAATGCTTTTGTATAGATAAAAGATTTCAATTTGCTGAGATAGACTTAAGTTCGACGATCATAGCAATCATATGGAAACCAGCCTTAAGGACGCTTACTGACCAATCAGATAACTGCGCGCGCTTGGAGAATACAAAGTGATTATTACGTCAAGTGCGCGCAAGTCTTCATTCACAACATTATTCTTGCGAGCGGAGCCTTTCGGAGTGCTGCGAGAAAGAGTTTGCGACGAATTTTCAGTTTTAGCCATTCTGATGTACAAAAAGCTAGTTTGTTTTGTTGCTGCCGAACTCTGCGGCAACATCGCAAGACTATAAGGAGAAAAGTGGGTACAGGGTTTCCTTGAAAACGCTTTGGTCGTATTTCAAAAGCGAAATCTTTTAACAGTAACAGTGCTTAGGTGGGAGGGATTACCAAACCAAATCTAAAAGGTGAAGATATTATCGTATCTCCACGCGTCTAAACCTTGAAGTATTCATTCGGTTTTCGTACGGAATGGTTTTAAGCTTTCAGCAATTTGACCTAACAATTCCCTGACAATTGAAGTTTGAGTGCACGCAAAATTCGACGTGAGCGCGAGAACGCCATTGTTTTAAAGGGGAATAGATAATCAAAAAGATGCCACGATAATTTTGCAGTGCTTAGGTAACCAAACGGACTATTTTAAACAGCTCCGTTCAGTTTTTTTAGGTATCACATCACCTGTGTCCGTCCGAGTGTTTCGTATGTGTGTGTGGTCTTTGTTTTCTGTTTTTTTTTTTGTGCCTTTTCATCAATTACTGGGTCGCATACTAACTCTCTGGGAGTAAAAGAATGTACAGTGACTCAGGATTTCACTAACCTTTTCCACGGGTAGCCTTCCTGAGGTACGAAAAATCAACATTAGCTGTAACATCTGCATTTCCAGGATCCACTAATACATCATGTAATTTATGTTTCTTGAATGCCTAAAGACAATAAGAGGAAAACTTCGAGATCAATCAGCCATGAAATGTGGCAGGCGATTATAAATATGCACTCTAGGTTCTCAGTCTGCTAATTTTTTTATCTGGGGCACTATGAGGTGTGAGGCTCACAGGGCTCCCTCCACAAATTCATTCCCAAGGGGTTTTGGGTGGGCTTATCAACTGGGGGTGGTTTTTGTTGGGTAGTGGGGTGCGGGTGATTATACGCATTGTAAAAAGCCAGACAAGAAATGACTTAAAAGCAATTATGGTAGATACATTGTCAGTCTCAGTAGCAAATTTATTTTAATGTGCTCTCCACTTGCAAGCGTGTTCGATGGCTATTGAAATTGGAATCACAACGCTCTGCTGGTGAGGGTCACTTTAGACAGTTAAAGTTNGGGGGGGGGGGGGGGGGGGGGGGGGGGGGGGGGGGGGGGGGAGTTTAACTGCCATTTTATGGTATATTGGTATACTTCTCTGGCAAAATGTTCAGCATGTAATCCAAAAACAGGGAAGGAGTGCCTGGGTTTCTTGAGAGGGGAGACCTGCACCTGCAATGGAGTGGCATCTCATCCAGGGAGGAAAGCAATACGACTAGTTGCTTCAGGTTATGGAAAAGAGAGTTCACTGGCTTAATTTCCCATTGAACTGACCCTCAGAGTGTGCCTTTTGCTGTCATCTTCTCCATAATCCACAATCAATGCACATCCTCCTTGCTCTGCTAAGGCCTCACTCATGTGCTCCACAATAGCACCACCCTGTGGGCACACCTCTATCTGATCCCATGAAATCCCTTGAGGTACCAGGGTCTGTGAGGCTAATGTAGGACCAGGGGCTAGGACAAACCTCAGTTGTGAGGACCTATAAAAAAAAAACCGCATAGAACATTACATGAAAATAAGAAAATAATATGCCAAAAGTACTTGTGAGGTATAAGAGATGATGTGAGTCAAGGTTATCATCCAAGGGCAAAAAATATATTATTCACTATCTTGAATAACACAAGCTGGTCAAAAGGTGTAAAAGCACTCTTCAGAANTTTCAAATTAACTGAGCAGCAGTCTTCCATTGTTAAATAACCCTTTGAGGAATAATACTTAAATTATGCAAATGCACATAAACTTGAAAAGAGTCAGGCTTTTTTGAACCAGTTACCATTTCCTAACAACCGGTATGTGGTTCAAAAAATCAAAATTCCACAGGACTGTATTTGCATTTTGGTGTGACCAAACTTCATGACAGAAAAAGAACAATTAAATCATGGTTCTTCTCATACAACTGTTATCTAAAATATTTATTAATGAACATAGTAATCATATTCATTACTATATTTTATTGTAATAATCTTCATGTGAATAATTTGACCTATATAATAAGCAACAATTCTGACTCTGGTAGCATTAAATCAAATTCAAGCTCTCTATTGTGATTACAACAATAATAATAATAAATTATTATTATTATTATTTATTATTATTATTTCTAGAATTCATTAACAGAAGTGAATTGAAGACTCACTCTCAATAAATCTGAAGCTAACGTTCCTCTCCCAGGTCCAAGCTCAACAAGTTGTACGTTTTTCTTTCCTGATGATATCCATTGGTTTACAAACCACACGCCTACAAGCTTCAAATAAAATTTAAAAGATAAAAACTTACCAAGAAACATCAAACAGCAAAGGAAAAAAACCCAAATAATGTATTTTTGTACAGTGCTGGAAGAAGCAAGTCTAGGAAGAGAAAAAATTCATGTCATTGAAAGTGCCTTTTAGGGTCGTTCTTATCATTTGATCTCATATCTGATTTCCATGTTACCACAGAAAGTTGTAACATGCAGATGGAGTAGCTGTAAGTGTTCACTTATATAGCTTGACAGTAATGTGTGGTTCCAGAAAAGAACATACCCATCCCATGGAAGGTCACTGGGAATTCTTCGAGGGTGGAGGAAAGCAATAATTTTATTTTAAACCAAAGTATGAGGCTAAACTAGAATTTTCATACGGGTAGGGTTCAAAACAAAAAACCTGTTGTATGAATGTTGTGTGTCTGCGTGAAGGGGCAAGGAAGGGAATGTAATTTTCTGGGAAAGCATAATACCTCTCCAAAGACTTGACTGATTTCAGGTGAAGTGATGAAGTCTCCAGCTTGACCAAACACATCATTATTCATGTAATATCCCTGAAATAGGAATAATTTTATTAAATTATAGATTGAGATACAGAATTTATTATTTATCATGATCATAGTCACAGGGATTATTAAAATTTTTCTCAATTTATTACCCTGCTGGCAGAGCCACCTCGATCTTTCTTTGATCTTTTCTGACTTATCTAGAACAAATTGAGGTGGCTCTGCTGTCAGGGTATCAATTTATTAAAACAACAAATGTTTGAGACCCACCACACTTGACCGCCTCCAGGATTGATTTAATAGGTTTATCCCTTTACCCCCCAAGGCAAACAGCAGTTTTTCCCAAATCAGCAAATAAGGACATTCCTTTGTGTACAACATGCCATTTGAAAGCCACTGATCAGCTTATTTAAGAATTGATATCAGCAGCTATGAAGGAGGTAGACATTTTGAGAGAAACTGCTTTAAAATGCAAAAATGGACGACTTCAAAAATGTATCAGCCTTCTACTAACAAGTCTTGCATTCCATTTGGAACTGAAAAAAGGAACTTAAAACTTGTGGAGGTGGTCAACTATGTCTTAGATAGGAGGGGGTCACAATTTTATGACTTCAATGGGCAGATCTCCACAAGACAATCTTCGCGACAAAAATCCATAGAAATCTATCAAATATTCACAAAGTTATGATGTTGTGTGCCAATTGGCACTCTTGGGGAGAAAAGGGTAAAAGTGATGTTTTGTACATAAAATTTATCAGTCTATAGGATTTAATTGTTATCAATATTTGTTTCAGATATATTTATAGACTGAATTAGATGCACAGTGTTTCTCTTTCACTCTAACTGCAAAAGGATGCTGAGTTTATTCAGTACCGTTTAAGAGCGATGGTTTGGTGTTAAAAGATGTTACATTCCATTATTATTATTATTATTATAAAAAACCAAGCTCAAAGTTAAACATAATAAAAATAAGCCTCAACTTACAGACAATGGATTTGTCAAGACTTCCTGCATAAAGGCTGCAACTGTCAGTGGTCCAGATGCCTGGTAATACCAAATTAAATTATAACAATTATATTATTATAAACTGACTCACATATTTTAATAAATATGGATCAAAATACTACTTGCAATTTTCTACCTTGATCCTGCTAATGAGATGTTCTTTTAACGTAATATTCCCAGGACGTGTTGTGGAGGACGAATACTGACGCCATCTTAACCCATGAACTACAAAAAAAAAAAAACAAAA